GACGGACGACGGACGACGACGGACGAAAACGGATAGCAATAGGTCACTTGAGCTAAAGCTCAGGTGACCTAAAAATCAGAACATAACTTGATTTAAGGTTGTATGATACTTTATGTAAATGCGATATGCACCTGATTGCTTTCAAAAAAGGAGAGTTTCACAATAAGAGATTTTCAAAATATCTTTTATGTTTAAAACACACAAATACATGAACTGTTAACAGTCTTGTTATTCTGAATAAATTATAAGAAACTGCAAATCAAAAAAAAAAATCACCATGATAAATCGAACTCTAATCACAGGTAAAGTGTGCAGGTATAAGTACCTTACATATAACTTATGTTTTCAGAATATAGATATGGCATAATAGAACATAAAAATAACAGATAGAAGAAGTTCTATTCTAAAACTAGAGAAACTGTAAGTAAGCTCACAAAGATAAATGCCACCTGCTTCATTTTTTAAACATATTTAAACTTTGTTTGCAGTGAATCTAATACCCCAAACACAAATCCCTTCCTTCATGTTCATCTACATATCATGTTCTTTCCCTGTGCAACGTTACATGGAAATCCAACAAATGGTTTAGGAAGAGTTGTGCTTACAAGGTGTTTGGAACTAAAATGGTAAGTTTCAAGGGCGATAACACCAGGGAAAAAGGTTGAATAGCAAATTCTTTCCTTCATGCACATCTACATATGATGGACTTTTCACTTTGCAAAGTCAATTAAAAATCTAATAGTTATGGAGAAGTTCTAACAAGTGCTAACAAGTTTTTTGGAGCAGAAATTTTAAGTTGCAAGGGCAATAACTCCAGGAAAAAAAAAACAATTCATTTCTTCATGCACATCTACATATGATGTACCTTCACTGCCAAGATAGGAAAAAAATATACAACAAACAGTTTAGTTTAGGAGGTGTTGTGCTTACGAGTTTCATGGACAAGAAGGCCTAGGACGGACAGATGGACAGGGTGATTCCTATATAACTCCCCCCACCTCCCCAACTTCTTAATGGGGAGTGTAACTAGTAGAATATGCATGTTAGGAATTTGGACTTGGAAAGTTCAAGCAGGGTTTGTCCATGAGGACTGTTGGTGATCTGTATGCTTGTGACATACCGGTGACCTACTCCGCTGTAGTGGTAGCTGGGTGTAAACGTATACCCTTGAGGTGCTGTCAATCCTAATTCAATAACCTCTACTGAAACAACAGAGCAGAGCTTCAAATTATTCTTACTTGTCGCATCTAAATGTGTTTCAATTTAATTTGTTTGGATGGCAAGGCTTTAAAAAATCATGAAACACAAAGCCGTCTATCTTACAGAAGTACCAGCATGTGTTAAACTGCAGAGAGGAATTATGCCCCTGACAGTTCCTACTATGCCAAACTGCCTTACCTAACGCTGGAACACAATGCTCATCTATCAAGTCATTGTCTGAACTCCAGTCAGATTGGTTTGGTCACAGTGATTCTATTCTTAAACATTATGTCTGGCAGTTCTTTTTCAAGCGAAGGACAACAAGACATTTTACCGAAAGCAAGTTGTGATAGAGAAAAAAAATAAAAATTGATCCAATTTATTTTCTTATTCGGTGAAAATCCAACCAGAAAATACCAATAACAATGACGGATCAGGTCTTACACCTTCATGTCCCAAAATAATAATAACAATGACGAATCAAGTCTTAGACCTTAATGTCCCAAAATACCAATAACAATGACGGATCAGGTCTGAGAACTTCATGTCCCAAAATAACAATAACAATGACGAATCAAGTCTTAGACCTTCATGTCCCAAAATACCAATAATAATGACGAATCAGGTCTGAGAACTTCATGTCCGAAAATAACAATAACAATGACGAATCAGGTCTGAGACCTTCATGTCCCAAAATACCAATAACAGTGACGAATCAAGTCTTACACCTTAATGTCCCAAAATACCAATATATATGACGGATCAGGTCTGAGACCTTCATGTCCCAAAATACCAATAACAATGACGAATCAGGTCTGAGACCTTCATGTCCCAAAATATCAATAACAATGACGAATCAAGTCTGAGACCTTCATGTCCCAAAATACCAATAACAATGACGAATCAGGTCTGAGAACTTCATGTCCCAAAATACCAATAACAATGACGGATCAAGTCTTAGACCTTCATGTCCCAAAATACCAATAACAATGACGAATCAAGTCTTAGACCTTCATGTCCTAAAATACCAATAGCAATGACAAATCAGGTCTGAGAACTTCATGTCCCAAAATACCAATAACAATGACGAATCAAGTCTGAGAACTTCATGTCCCAAAATAACAATAACAATGACAAATCAAGTCTGAGACCTTCATGTCCCAAAATCCCAATAACAATGACGAATCAAGTCTTAGACCTTCATGTCCTAAAATACCAATAGCAATGACAAATCAGGTCTGAGACCTTCATGTCCCAAAATATCAATAACAATGACGAAACAAGTCTGAGACCTTCATGTCCCAAAATACCAATAATAATGACGAGTCAGGTCTGAGACCTTCATGTCCCAAAATACCAATAACAATGATGGATTAGGTCTGAGACCTTCATGTCCCAAAATACCAATAACAATGAAGGATCAGGTCTGAGACCTTCATGTCCCAAAATACCAATAACAATGATGAATCAAGTCTTAGACCTTCATGTCCCAAAATAACAAT